TGACCTATAACCTATATGAATATTACTTTTATCAATATAGTTAGAGATATTTTCTGAAATTAGAAAGAAGTCTAATCTAGCTTGTTTTACAGGGTTCTTCTTTCGCCATGTATATCGTCTATAATTAGGATGGAAAAATCTAAAAGGGTCAATCAAATTTATATCTTCTATAAGTTTTAAAAGCCTTGTACGAGCATTTGGGTTATTTATATTAACATAATTGTTTGTGTCTTTTTCTGGGTCTAAAACTAAATTGAAGTCACCACAAATAATACAATTGGGGTTGTTATAACCAGTAATTTGTTCATATATCTTTTCGTAAAAATCTGGTTCATCTCTATTTGGACCATATACATTTATTAGTGTGATTCTTCTTTTTTCAATAGTTATATCAAGAATTATTATATTACCTTGTATGTCTTTCCATTCATTATGAATATCAAATTCAAAATTATTATTAAAAAGTAGACAAACTCCCCTTGAATTATTTCTGTATGAATTAAAAATACATGTATATCCCCATTGTAGCCCTATTTCTTTTTCCTGCTCTACTGTAAAGTGAGTATCCTGAAGACATAAGATATTTAAATCTTTATAGTTATTTTTAGGTAGTTAAAAACATCGTTTCTCTTTTCTTTTTGCCCTAATCCTCTTCAGTTTGCAGATGCTATTTTGATGTTATTTGACATAATATAGTGAATTTACTATATCATTTCTCTCTGGGGTTTAAAAGATGAACGACACGATGAAATAAAAGTAATATTATAACCAGAAAAGAAAGTACGTAAACGGTTATACTGTATCCGTTGTTACTTATATTGTCTATACATAAACTCGCACTACAAACAGATAAACATAAAAATAGTACATAAACTACGCATACAATCGCACTACCGACCAACAAACATTTAAATATATATAAAACTAACATGCAATATGTTGGTGCATTCACTTGTTACCTCTCGGAGAGATTATGGTAACGCCCTGCTATGTGGTATATTTGACAAACTAACTAGTCGTCTGCAGAGTGTCCAGAACACTGAAGCACGGCTGGTTACTCGTACTCGAAAGAGAGATTATATAACACCTGTGCTATATTCATTGCACTGGTTACCTGTACGACACAGGTCGGAGTCAGAATCATTGTCGTGTGTCCCAAAATCTCGAACTGTGACCTATGGAAACCGGTGCTTTTGGAGGGTTTCAGCCACGTTGTGGAAAAGCTTACCAACTGCTATGAGAAAGTCAAATACCCTGGCAAAATTCAAGATAGACATCAAAACTCACCTCTTCATATCTGCACATTTGGCTCTTTGCAAAGACGTCGTGTAAATACCACCCTTTGTTTATTCATTTATGTGCACATTGCGATGATTATCTGCTTGCTTAATGTATAAAAGTGATAGCAAGCCTTTGTTTTTTGTTCCACAATTATAACTAATTATATATAATACTATTACTCATATGGTGTGAAGCGCTTTAGAGTAATTTTACAAATTATATAGGGCGTTGTTATTATTAGAGAATTAACACATATGCTACCACTTGTTATGGCAGTACCTCAATTTATCTATTTATCTGTTATTCATATACTTTTAATTCCACTAAATATCCTAAACATAGAGAAATTTTCAAAAGACAATTTGCGCGAGATATACCGTATATAGAATAATTTGTAAGTCATATCTAACAAAGGACACCTTTCTTTGGCCAAAGGAACAAAGGACCCGTATTCGTTTACAACATGAACTTACTAAAGCAGATGTGAAATCATTGCTCTGGGCGGGTACATTCATTTCTGTTTTTATTATAAAGTATAACAATAAATACTCGTATACTCGTACAGGAACCGTTACTTCATACGGTGCCGAAACTAGCACAGTAGTCGCCAGTGATGCATCAGAAAATGATCGCAATGCCATAATACTATGGTTGTCAAACCGGTTTTATTTTTGTAACCGGTTACTCGAACAATTTTGTAGCCAAATAATAAACAGCAACAAATACATAAATATGTACATTATATGTTTGGAAAACGTTCTATCTAAAATGTATTTACACCACAAATATACGTGTTAACCTTGAAATACCATGATCGTTTGCTCGTGTATTTCAAGGTAAACGCAGGAAAAAGTTGCATGCAACCTCAGTAAGTGTTTTGCATGGACAACGCCTGTCAGTAAGACGAATTAAATTACAGTTATCTGTACTCTAAATCATATTCGGTATCATTATTCTTTAGAACAAAATTTGCTTGACAAACGTTTTAAGATATGCTTGCTCATTCAAGTGGGAACTCTTCAGATTATCTTTACATCTCGCATGTAAAGGTGCGTTCTATCTCAGAAATTTGATATATCACAGCTTTGTATTCTGGCTTCCTTTTAAAATTTGTTCAGATTTTTTATGGTGTTGGCGACATCCCGTTGCTAGTATTTAGAGTACAAAATTAACAGTAACATGCAATCCCTGAACACTGTTTTATTACATAACTATCCAATTTAGGCCGCATCTATACAAATGCAGATAGTTTGTAGGTTTAGGCCAGGGACACATGGGGCTCCCAAAAGGGGTAAGTAAATGTCCGACCTTTCGGTTAAGGATTTTGGTAAACGGTTCGTGGTCTTTCGCCCGAGTAACCAGATAACCGGCTAACCGTTGACAATACTACATAATACATATACATACCAAATCTATAACATCGGTCAATATCTAAATGTCGACCAACCAGGCCCCGACCTAACACGGACATTTTGTCAAATAAAAAAATCAACGCAGATCGCAGTAGTCTTCGTAGTGACACTGCACACTTTTACATAGGGACATTGGACAATGCATACATTTCGACTTATCGTAAGCGAGTCTGCAGCGGCCATTTTGCGGAAGATGTTGGCCTTTTTCCCATCTTCAAGAACATGATTAAAATATTGAAATAAACAACATTTATTGTGGTCCATAAATCTCAGCAGAAATTGTTATAGCCTGAAATGACTCAGCAAATGATAGACCATGATTTAGATCTGTTCGGAAACTTAACATCGAATATCATTAGTAACTACATGTATTATACAGTATGCAGTACACCTCTATTACTATGATACTTGTATCTCTCTGTACAACCACGCATGCTTATACATTAAATCTGTGTATGTTACATATCTTTGAATGCCATTGTAAGTCAAAGATGTAAAGATAAAATAAAAAAACAAGAGACCCGAAGGGCCTGTATCGCTCCCCTGGATAATTAAGCAACCATTGGCTATTATTTTTATTACAAACAATCCCTCCAATGGTACAGAAGAAGAAGTATTTTAAAGAATTAAACCTCAAATTCCCCTATTGAGCCCCACAGCTCTCCACCCAAAGGGGCCACACCCACCGTTTATACAAAATCGAGTCCCTTGGTATAATGATGATCCAGGCCAAATTAAGTCAAAATATACTGGGTCGTTAAGGACTTGTGGCATTTTAAAGGAAAAGTTGGCGGACGGTTGGACGCCGGACGCTGCGGTATGGCATAAGCTCACAATGGTCCTTCGGATCGGGTGAGATAAATATTGAAGTTTGTGCAGTAGTAAACAAGTCTTAATGTACCACAATCCCCCAAAATCAATTTCAGTGTTCGTACTCATGGCAACGGGCAATATGCCTACTCCTCACACGATTTCTCACTCGGGTGAGAAATCGTGCAGAGGTGAGAAATCGTGTTCCGAACTCAGCAAATTTAGCACGATTTCTCACCTCGTTTCGGGGTGAGAAATCGTGCCGTAGCATACGCCCACTCGACTTAAACCAGGTCAAGTGACAAAAGACGTGAAGTAGGAAACAATGTTGTAATATCTGGTTCTATGTCTAATGGGAGGCAAACGCTGTGGTTTAGTGACAAAAACTGTAATATCTAGGAAACTGAATGCATCGTTGTTTTTCAGTGGGTATTTTATAACCAATTAGAGAAAATCATTAAACGGTGTTTCACTAGTGGCTTCCTGAAATGAACAAATCGCTTCATGAATGTGATATTAAATGGAAACGAATGTTAGATATTCTTATATAACCAAAGATTGTTGCAAATATTCATGACAAACATATTTTCAGGCTGACAAGAGATGACCAATATCATTTTGTGTACTCTTAAACGTCATCCTGGTCCCTTATATGTGTAGTTTACCTCTGTTGAAAATAACTTACCTGTTTGCAAAGTAGTTTACCTGTGTTGAAAATAACTTACAGCTGTACCTGTTTGCAAAGTAGTTAACCGCTGTTGAGTATAGTTTATCTACAACTACAAAATAAAAGAAAAATGGAAGTTTATTCCTAAGGCATACGTAAATGGGATCTATCCGAGTTGTCCATGAAAACAGAATTCATGAGAATTAGAAGATTAATGTTTATTACTTGTGGATTTCCCTTCTAGTGTTAATAATTTAGGAAAAAATGTTGCAGTTAAGGCTAAATCATACAATAAATCCTCACAATTCTCTTTATCTGTAACAATAAAGGCATTCGAAGGTAAATATCTGAGTATATATAAGCTTTTGTTTGATATCCGTTGCGTATATTTCCAATGATTAAGGAGACCGCACTGTGATTATAGTGAATACGAGTATGTATTCAGAAATGTCGTACATATAGCTTTGGTATGACCAAGCCACCTCGAATGTATCAGACATTTCCACGAGCGTGGGTGCTTTCCTTCTTCGGTTACATCAGTTTTACATCATTAATGGATAAAGCAACAAAACCAAAATGCTTGAGTCTCAAACATTTACGCAATCTTAAAGACTATCATCTATGTAGGAAAGGAGATAAGTACATCTTCTCTAATTGATTTAGCACTGTTCTTATAATAATTATCGACTCGTTTTGTCGTCTTGTTCTGTAAAATCTGGTCTATCTTATAACCAATGTGTTTTCGTGGACTACGGAGAGGTCGTCTGAAACCTAGCTTTACCATGCTGATGGCAGTATTGTTAACAAACATACACATTAACGATTTGCAGACTACACAAATATTTCAGCTATTCGCCATTCGAAGCTCGTCACTGAGGCGTCCATCTCCCAACATGCAACTTATGAGGCCAATGACGTCATCTACCGCTGGTATTCAACTTGTTATAGATAAGCCCGAGTGCCTTATGGACGAGGATATTGTTGTCAAGGCTACTGGACTGTCTCCAAACAACAGTGTCACAATCCTAGCGACGGCGGAACACAACGGAAAGCTTTTCTGGTCACATGGTCTGTTTCGAGCCAATGACAGAGGTGTTGTAGATTTGAGCACAGATACACCAATCAACGGCAGTTATAACGGTAATATGTCGCTGATGTATGCATATATTCTACTCACCATTGCCATTAATCATACACATTTAAATTAATTATCCAGATAAGACAAAACATACCCTGTATAGTTAAAACAATTGTAAACCTATGACAACACGTGTGATTCACTTTGTCATCAGGTCGTATAGATCAAGACAATCCTGATATCCGTACTTATATAAGGCCCTGGAGTAACCATTTAAGTGTACAAGAGGGAAGGCTGACATGTCAGCTGATACTGTAGTTTATTGAATAAATATATAATTTAAGGAAATAGTTATGAACCTAAAGTTGACGTAAACTGTTCCACATTATCAAATAGCCCGATCATTTTAGGGTGTTTAAATTTAAATCTGAAAACACACATAAAAAGGGTGAAAGAGGAAATGAGCGAAAACAAATAAAAACGTACAAGTAATGCATAGATAAAATAATCACAAGCAATGCGAAGAAGAATAAGCCATTTCGTCCATTTAAGACGACGTGTCTGTGGTACTTGAAGTGGAAATACTTTAAAAATGTATCTTAAGGTCGTTGCTTACATACATTTACTATTGATGTTGGAAATTGAAAAGTTTACCTTATTATCTTTGGCAAAGTCATGAAATACAAAATACTGTCTGAAAACTCTTCCTCAGATTCAGCAATTTATGTCAACCCATTTAACGTTATACATTATTAATTATTTTGTGTTTGAGTTATCTCTAAGTTTTCCGGACGACTTAGTTTTGTCGATTCCTGCATTTGTAATTGTCTTTTTCATAAACAGAGGCGGATCCTGCCGGTTTAGTTTGGAGTATGGTTGCAGCACCATGGTTACCGCAACACAAGCGCATGTTCCAAGCCCAAGCTATCAAACCTAGGGTAATCACTTTCAGCGTATTCCCTGAATCAGACCGTCCTTGTGACTACCTCAATGACAAAACAAAACTACTGGCATCCGTCGAACATAAACGATGGTACAAATCTTCCAATACAAGACGAATACCGATAGATCATCCAAGAATTAGAGGTACTCTGTTCCTACCAGAAGGTAAGCATTTCACTAAGAGGTTTGAAAGTATATACTGCAGTTTTATCATATTTTGTTACATGATTTAAGTCTCTAAGTCACTGATAGCATCGTGTTGATACCGCGTTGTATTGAAATATTTATTTTAGAGAGTAAGAAGCGATAAATCAGGTTCAAATACAGGTAAAAATAGAAGCAGGGATTCCATGTCAATACATAAAAAAAAATTAAAAAAAAATGATAAAGTAAATAATTTTCAAAATTCCTGATTATTCAAATTTCTATATAAAACTGGTAAACATTTCACGTTCTCATTCTATATAATGAAAATATCTAATTTTCTCAGTATAAAGATTGCTGATATTTCATATTTTCAATATATATGCTAACATATCAAAACTAATTAGTTCTTGCAACCATGCACATCATGTTTTAAAGAATAATTGTTTTCGCAAAGCTCTTTGATCGTCTGAATATGTTTCAGCTATAGACGTTCCTCCTTCGTTACAAATAACCATTATAATTGGAACTGAGACTCCATTGTAAATATTGAAGGAATTCAATGAAAAAGATAACTTGGAAAAATATGTAGAAATGCCAGACAAATATGTAGAAATAATGCTTGAAAATATTTAAATAAAGTGCAATTTTTATATACATACATTGTAAAAGGGTCCTGGTATTTAGTAATGAAGTATTTTAAATAAAATGATAACCACAGGGCCTGGCCCGTTCCCGGGGGTAATAGATATCTACGGCGGTCTGGTGCCTTTCATGGAGGGACGGGCGGCTCTACTTGCATCCCGGGGGTTTGCCACCATGGCCTTGGCCTACATGCACGAGAAAGGTCTGCCACAGAAACTCCGGGACATTGATCTCAGCTATTTTGAGGTAATTATAAAGCTCCACATGATCTTATTTTCCTTTCCAATAACTTGAGTAATATAATGTACCTTTAATTTTAAGCTCACAGATTACTCATGTAAACTATTGCCATGCGTCTTTCGTCTTTCGTCGTGCGTTTACAATTGAACATTTTCGACCTCTGATTCAACCCCGCTCTTGCGATTTACTTCAAACTTGGTACAAATATTCCTTATGATGTTCTGACCAAGTTTGATTTGTTTTCGTGCCGGTCCCAAATCTAAAATGGACGTTCTGGACTCTTATTGGCTATCATCTTTGCTTCTGATTGCCTGTGGTATTTTCGACTCTTTTTCAAGAACGGCTGCATCAATTGACTAATTCTTGATACAGTTGACCCTTATGAGAATCCGAACAAGTGTTGATACATTTTGCGCCGGTCCGAAAATCCAAAACGGCCGCCTTTGCCTCTGTTTAGCTGGGTCATTTTCGACTTCCTCTTAAAATCGGATTCACCGATTGATTTCTAAGTTGGTAAATTAATTCTGATTAGATACTGAACAAGTGTTGTTATATTTCGTGCCGATCCGAAAATAAAAATGGCTGCCTTGGTCTCTGATTTGCTGGGACATGTTCGACCTCTTCTCAGGAATGGCAGTACCGATTGCCTTCTAAGTTGGTTCAGTTGATTCTTGTGAGATCTCGAACAAGTGTTGTTACAATTAGTGCCGATCCAAAAATCAAGATGGCCGTCCTGGTTTATGATTAGCTGAAACATTTTCGACTTCTTCCAAAGAATGGCTTTACCGATTGACTTGTACAATGACACTTGATACAATTGATCCTGATGAGGTCCGGAACAAGTGTTGTTAAGTTTCTTTCTGATCTGAAAATACAAGATGGCCACTTTGACACTGATTGGTTGAGACCATTCCAACTTCTTCTCAAGAATGGCTTCACTGATTGACTTCTGACTTGGTACAATTGATCCTTATGAGGTTCCGAAAGAGTGTTGTTAAGTTTCTAGCCGATCTGAAAATTCAAGCTGGCCGCCCTGATTCTTGATTGGCTGTGATATTTTCGACTTCCCTCTTATACACTCCAAGGCCTTATATAAGTACGGATATCAGGATTGTCTTGATCTATACGACCTGATGACAAAGTGAATCACACGTGTTGTCATAGTTTTACAATTGTTTTAACTATACAGGGTATGTTTTGTCTTCTCTGGATAATTAATTTGAATTTGTATGATAATGGCAATGGTGAGTAGAATATATGCATACATCAGCGTCATATAACCGTTATAACTGCCGTTGATTGGTGTATCTGTGCTCAAATCTACAACACCTCTGTCATTGGATCGAAACAGACCATGTGACCAGAACTTTGGTACAATCGTTCCTAATGACGTCACGAACAATTGTCCGTACTTTTTGTGCCGATCAGTTAATCCAAGATGGCCGTCCAAGCATCTGATTGGCTGAGACATTTTTGACTTCTCAAGAACGTCTTGACTCCTAACTTGGTACAATTGATCCATTTGAGTTCCAGAACTTCTAAAGCAATTGTCATATAGTGGATTTTCAGCCTGTATATCAGAAAGTTGCTATACTCAAAGTACTCCACCTATAAAACTGGCACTCCGTGAATAATCTTCATATGTTTATTGGAAATAATACGCCACTTCCATTAAATCCTAAGCCCACATGCTTACCCATACGTCCTATTGCCATCAATTTTCATCTGGCGTCATGCTTTTACATTTTCAACTTGAAATCTTGGTAAAAATGCTTATTTCATGCCCCTATGAAGTGTTCTTACTTTTTGTTACGATCTGACAATACAGTACGGCAACCCTAGACTCTGATTGGCTTCCAAATTGACTTCCTCTCATGTAGCAGTGTACAGTAGCGTACGGTGGCCATGGGTGATATTTGTGTACAATGAATAACCCCTGTATTATATGTTTCCAAAAAAGTATCGGCACTATAATTAGCATATACATGATGAAGTGGACAATGTGGGCTTCATAATTTGAAATAAATCGAATTTGGTTTGAGACTACAGTTTTGGACATTTACAAATCCGTGTCTTCACAACAAAAGCTAGCTTTTCAGGTAGTCTATTTTTGTACTCAGCACATGTGTAAACATTGTGAAAAATCCACCGGAATAACCTATGCTAAAACGTGAGTATTTCTGTTACCGAGTAGGCGATATTTAATTTCAGACACAGAAAAGAATTACTACTTACGGGCTCAAATTTTGGGTTAAAATCATGTTTTTTGCATTTTGTGGTGTTTTTATGTGTTAACCATGGTTTACACAAGTCCCAAATCTTGGGAAAACAGTTTTTGGAAAACGAAAATCAGTATTCTTAACAAAATGTATTCAAAATGGAGTTTATAAATATATATACATATGTAGATGTGTTGTGCAGGTTGAATCTCCACTATCCATGTTTATCTGAGACATGCCCTATATTTTTAGGATCAGGCCATTTCTACCGTACTCTGCTACCTCAAGAACGGTACAAGCAACCCACTTTTAACTGTGAACACAAGTTCCTTACGAGGTCTTAAATAATATGGCTACCCTGGTCTTTGATTGACCGAGACTTTCTCGATTTTTTTGAACTCATGTGAGCGTTAAGACCCTGTAGGCCTCATGTACCATGAACTTTCTCTTTGGCGTATGTAAACATCTCAAGAAGTAGTCCATATTATTTATCTGAAAATAATCATCTAAATAATTTCCTATTTGCTTAGGGTTAAGCTCATCCGTCCCGAAAGGCCAATGAGCTTTTGACATGGCGCAGTGTCCGTCGTCCGTCAACATTTTTCTGTAAAAACGCTACTAGTCCTTAACGTCGCAGTTGAGTTTGGCCAAATTTGGTCCAGAGAATTCTTGGCCATAGGGTTCTTAATTTTGTAAAAACAAAGGATATGGTCCCCTGGGGACAAGGGGAAGACCCAAAAGGGAAATGAGGCTAATCCTCAAAAATCTAAACCAAAGGAGGGATTTTGACCAAATTTGTTCTGGAACTTTGCACGAATAGAACTCGATGAAGGATATAGGCAGAGAGAGGCGCCGGAGAAAGGAAAAAGAGGTGAATCATCAACAATCTTTTCCTTCCTAACCAATGCCGGGATTTTAACTAAATTTGTTCTAGGGCCTCTGCGGGTAAACGGGCATGACTCAATTTTGTATAAACGGAGGGTGTGGTGTCCTACCTGTGGCGTTGGTTGGGGCGCCTAAGAAGAAGAAAATCTCTATCTTTCTGTACGATTGAAGGGATTTAAATCAAATATGGCCTGCCCTTTGGGCTACGCTGTAAGCGAATGTACAATGAGTTATTATATATGTACCGAAATGACTCGATTCGGCTACGCTTTTTTTAATCCATCCTTGGCCATGGTCATTATATGCAAGAGTCTATTAGAAATAATTATCTCGAAAAATTGCATTTTGTAAACAAACACAAAGTAGCCGAGAAAGAACTTAACAATTTGAAATCGAACGAGTTGTTTTTATTATCTTCATAGTCTCGAGGCTACATGGTGAACATATTGAGTAATCTCACAAGGGCGTCACAAACGGGAAACATGTATCCTGTATATGTACAAGTGCCTACTATAGGCGATGAAATTTAAACGGTGATGATATTGGTGTTAGAGTGTACATGACCATTGATGAGAAGTCGGGATAAACATTATGTTCATCAAATTAGAAATTATATAACAGTTGGTCTACTGCTATTGTGATATAAAAAATACCTGTTTGTAGCTATCAATTTCAACAGAACAATAATCATACGCTTCATTTTGTATCTAGGAAGCAGAGAAATGGTTCGCTAGTATACCGGAAGTGCGGTCAGATGGCCTCGGGGTATCGTCTTTGTGTCTTGGAGGAGCCGCAGGATTTTGGATGGCGCAGAATATTCCGAACGTATGTATAGCTACGTGTGTGTGTAGTGTATCACACAATGTAAACATGTTGCAACACTCCCGAATGTTTACATTTATTTATGCAAATGTTCAAACTATTGTCGACTTACCTTGTGGACTGTCTATCTGTGTATATTTATCTATTTAATCATTCATTTTTTATTTATTTTTCTCAAATGCAACACTTCGATTTGTATCGATTGAGCCACAGACATACATGTAGCTACAAGACTATGGTATGTGGGTTAACGGATATGCCGTACTACCCATATATATTCTCTTGTTGGCTTTGTATCCGCATATACCAAGATTTCATGTTACATTTACTTTCAACGAGTTCTTCAAATATTTAAACTAACACATTGGTACTGGTACAACACTTAGTGCGGATTGCTGCATTTTTTCAGATTAGAGCAGTCGTTAGCATCAATGGAATGCCATTTGGTTTGCGGTTTTGGGCTCACAATGGACTAGATATGGGATATCAAACTAGGTAATATACGGATCAGTCCTGGTCCCCCATGAATGTTTTTTACTTACGTGAATTCTTTTTAATAATCCATGATAAAGATGATTTCTTTATAAGTATTAAAACACTGGGGATATTGTAATTACATGTAGTGCTGGTTGTTTATGTTTCATAACATATTAACTTAACATAGCAATGACTAGAGTGCCTGTCAATCTCTCACAACTGTACGGAATGTACATGCCCATCTTCATAAAAAACTTATTTTAAGTTGCTTTATATAATTCATTTTCAAAACGATGTAATTGTAAATGTCTTTCTGAGAAAAATCTGGCACGCTTGACAAATCATCATTCCAAAGTTTTAATTCGGTAGGATGCGAAAGAATTCCTCCGAGCGGCGTCGTAAGCTTGTTTACTTTTCGTTCACTAAACTCGATGTCGTCTGTGGCCTTGGTCACATTTACGTAAACTAATCCCAGTCGATTTGCACCTTTCACATGTTCTATCAGTTGTCGTTTGTTCCCCGATACAGGTTGTCTATGATAACTAAGGTACATGTAGCTCTTACATTCTACGATAGTAAACCTATCGTTGTTTACACACGCTTCATTAATACCTTTATCAGCCATATTGATTCCCTCGATAATAACCCCCGGAAGAAGATAGTGTTGGCAGCGCGCCGTATTGTAAGAGGAGATAACCTAGTTACCGGAAAGGCCTATGGAGGTGACATCTACAGTAGAGCGTGTATATATTGAAGAGATGGTGAAGCTATTTATGATACAACTGGAGGTATCACCTCACAGCCTGACCAAAGTAGAAGCTTATTGCTTTTGTTAACAGTATTTTTCTGTGAATGGTTAATTACTGTTTCATTCGATAGTATGATCAGCGGACACATAATTTATTAACATTATATCCGATACATGTCCATTTACATAATAAAATAAGTTCATCTGTGTTCCAACGTAGACAAGCATACTAGCAAGGTCAAAGTTTTTAAATACTGTACGCATTTAAGAACAGACTCGATAAACACTGGATTGATCAGGAAATCATTTATAACTAGATCTGATGAAGATCAAAACACGGGATTTCCAACAGGAAAATGATCAAAGATATGTTCTCGAACTGACGATCGCTTTTAAACGTTTCCCTTCGCTTCTCTTTGCTTCCCTTCTCTGACAAACCTATTTTGTAGGTTTCACTTGTGTATTGGCCTGCATCACTTACTGGTCACCGAAAACAAACATTTAAACATACAGTGAGTAAATTGTTCCTGGACATATTGAAGCTGACTATTATGCCTAGTAAGTTTCGAAGATGTACCTTGTTTGTGGATAAGGACAATAAGACCACAGTAAGGAGACAGTCTCAACGTAGTTTGAATGTTCGAAACGGGTTATTGCCCTTTGAACGTGTGCTAGTCTACAGTAGCTGACTGAGTAGTGTGGGATCCCAAGAGTGCGAAATGACTTCAGAGAAAGACTGGATAAATATAGGCAGCCAATGGGCTTAGTTGTAGACGAAGGTAGTCCGTAAAATATAGTCCGTCCACTATGTACGTGAGGATGGTGAATTGAAAAAGGTTTTTGTCTATATCGGTACGGTTTGCCATGCTAAAGCAATGCTGGTGTTTACCCACTACAGTAGAGATGTAAACTGTCGCTACTTTTAAGATTGAGAGTGCGTAGTAATCGATGTAGTATAACCAGCGTGTATTTGATGTCTTGATATAAATCAAAGTACTGAGAGCCTAAAAGCACTTGACAATCCCACAAAATAACAAAGTGGTATATCTTCGTCAGTTTTGATGCTATGACCTTGAATCTTTGGAAATACGTTGAATAGACCTTGCTCTTTAATATTTAAAAAAATGAACTAATTTTATGATTTGTTATTTTTTACCTATATTTGACCCCATAACCAGGCTTTGAACTTGATATTTTCTGATAACATGTCATGGAAAAAGTTAGCCCCGAATAAGCGCAACAAGAAGTATGAAGCGTTCATGCAGTATAACGAAAGCTTTCGAAGTTTTCGTCGTTCGAAAAACGTTTTTAAAAAACATTATTTTTTGATCTGTGACCTTGACCTTTGACATTATGATCATGAATTTGTTCGCATACCATGTGTTCCTTGTCCTCTAATACGAACTGAAATATGAACGTTGTATCTTTATTCGTACTTGAGATAGAGTGTCCACAAGATCATTTGACCCCTGTGGCCTTAAATGTATGTCAAGGACAACGATAACCCATAACTTTTATAGGAAAGGCTACATACTATGGATGTACCAACTATCAACTCTGTATGTGTCTTAATGAAGGAGAAGAAGCGTTTTTAGTAAAATGTTGGAAATTTTGAATTTTGGCGGGAAAACGATTTTTTTCAAAGTGGCATATCTTCGTCATTTTTGAAGCTATGATCATGAAACTTTTCACATACCTTCATTAGAATATGCCCTTTAAGAGGAAATAAAAATATAACACATTTTGATATTTTTATTTTTGAACTATATTTGACCCCTTAGCGAGGCTTTTAACTTGACATATTCTCTGAAAACATGTCATAGGGAAAAGTTAGCCCCGACCAAGATCTACAAGATCCACATAACGTTCATGCAGAACAACGAACGCTTAGGAAGTTATGGTCGTTCTAAAAATGTTTTAAAAAATCGATTTTTAGATCTGTGACCTTGACCTTTGATATTACGATCATGATTTTTGTTCGGGTGCCTGGAGTTTGTTGTCCTCTATCATGTACTGAAATATGGACGTACCATCTTTGTTCGTTCTTGAGATAAAGTGTTAGCAAGATTTCTGGGAATAATAATAAGAAAAAACATAACAATAACAATAGGTATTTCCATCCGAAATGGAAATCCCTAATTACAGAGCCAACCTAGCTTGTTAAACATGTGATGTCCACACCCGAACTTCCATAAATGTGTACATGTATCTATATATATTGAAAAAAACATGTTTGAGTCCGTAGGAGAGGATCATATTGATCCTGTATCGGAAAATAAACTAGACTTAACTAAACTACTAAACTATAAACAGCAACTCACTCGATTCGACTTAGCTCTAATTAACTTCGTACTGGCATCCGGAAGAATAAATGTACCGTACTAATTGTTAGGGCAGTCATTTTCTCCTTTGAATATTTCCCACATGTAATAATGCTTCCGTAACCTATTCTTCTGCTATCTTTTGACCGTTTGGGAACTCTTCGCTTCGTAGCTGACACGGTTACTTCCAACGGCAAACCGTTTTATTTTTGTTTACGACGAAATGGCGTGTTATGCGCATGCGTTATAATTAATAAATGAGTTATATTGAAAATGTATCAGCGGAATCCGACTGTCATTTTCCATTTGAAGACTCACTTGATATTTTCATGCAGTATTTGAAGAAAAGAATGCTTAAAACAGAAGTGCATGTAGTAATGTCCCTTTTAAATCTCAACTTAACTAGCGGACATGACATCATCAAACAAAAACAAACGCGATAGTACTGGGAATATTTACTGGCGCTACTTGGATGCATGGTAGGGTAGTAACCGAGGGGTTGCGGGTTCGAGTCACGGCACGGTGCTGTGTGGTATCTTTGAGCAAGAAACATTACTCCGCTTGTCCCAGTCTACTCAGCTGTAAATGAGTACGTGATTGGACAGTACTATAATAGGTGAATGCTAGCTGTGAGCGCCGAAATGGCAGCACCGGCTGTATGCTCCCCGGGAGTTGAGAAAGATATTGGCTGGTTGCAAAGGCCCTATAACCAAGGATACTCATTTTTGAACCGCTTGGAGATGACCTACGAACTATGTTGTAATAAAGCGGTATATTAGAACCTCGAGTTATTATTATTAATTATTATTATTACAATGTTGACAGGCATCTTGAATGAAATCATCCTTTCATCATCCCCTACCCGTACCAATTTACAGTCATTTCTGTTTCTATTTGCAGTATCGATGAGACTCAAATCGAACTTAATCAGGAAGCGATGTCAATAACGAATGTATTTTCGATCCCTAAAGTTTCCTTTTTTAAGGTGAGTATGAAATGTGCTCATCAATCCAACTTTAACCAGTGTGAGATCACAGAAATCAACTGATATCATAGATTACTTTTCAATATCACAAATCACCAACCCCCATGACACAATTGTTCAAAAGGTGAGTAGCTTAATAACTGTTTAACAACATCTTTCAACCTCTATTAATTTTGTCAAAATGCAAGACAGATACTCATAATTCTGCATGTAATTTAACCGTAATACATGAATATATTTGCTAAATGGAAAGATTTAACGAAAGCTGGTGATTGTATTTTAACGATACAGTAATAGAAATTTTGCCCAAATTACTAATTAAACTAATAATGTTTTGAACAAATGGACTCTGGGGGTTGGTGATTTGTGATATTGACAATAGAACCACACATGATGAAGGCATGGGAAGAGCAAAGGCAGAAGTCTAAGAAACCATGGTAGCATGGTTGCCAAGGCAATCCCTAACTTAACATCATACGTCTCAACCTATATACCCAGGGACTATACTCACTTTCGCACCCCTGGAACACATGCACTAGCCTCGTTTGTCAATACACTCATAATATAACCAAGGTTGCTAATATAACTCTGTCCCCCTAGTGAAATTACCCCGTTCTAGAAAGCATGCGATTTTGTCAAAACCGTTAATAACATGACGCCGAGAGCAATCTCGTCCGTCAGGAATTATTTTTCTTTAATTTGATGTAAGATTTGCCATATATCAAGCAGTATACTTTTCGGTATATTTCATGTTACATCGCAAAATGTGAGAATTTCAGTTGGTCGGACACTGTGCTGTCCCCGGGATGACACGCTAAATCCCTAGTGGGTAGCGCAAAACACACTGTATGTGTGTACGATAGGAAACAAACTTACTTGTCTAATAGTTCATGCTCTTACTTTATCATGTTGAGACGGCTCATTCCCTGAACACCAACTCTGGAGAATGGAAAGGAAGGTGTTTATATATAGAAAATCCTTTGAAGTTTAGTTATAGCCTGTTTCAGCTAAGACTGTCAACTCATTTTGTAGATATGATACTTAAGTCAATAATAAAATGGATAAAAAGTTTGTATTTCCTACATATAACTGTAATACACATTTAATACTGCACTAAGTTATGGAAAATAATCAGTAAATATATTTTTTTACATTATATGAAAAAGAAAAATAACATTACATTATATTAAAAACAAAATTCCTTAATTTAAGCCACATTGATACTAATGTCAGCAATAAAATACAGTTTCTATTCCTACATATAACAGTAATACACATTTAATACAGCAATAAAAGATAGCCATTATTAAATATAAACAGTAAACCTTTCTGGAGCTAAAGTAGATGAAGATTTTTGCATGAATCATGATGATTTTAGTTGGACTGGATTTTTGGAATTCAAAAGTTTTGCCAAAAAGTATAATATCTTCCTTTATTTCGAATGTTTGGTCAGTTTTTCAGTTTTTTCATCTACGTATGTCTTGCCAGAAGTTATTTGTTATTTGACACTGTTAAAAAAGATGTTATATGGTTTCTTTGCTTTCCTGTCATAAATTACATAAATCACATTGTTTGATTCCAATTATTTTCAAATAATGATAAAGTGGAAGTATTCTTGAAAGAAGCCTGAAAGTGAACCATTGAATGCTAGTTTTAAGTCCATATATTAAGTTTTCTAAATCAATCATTTTGAGTCCACCCTCACTATAGTTTTGAACAATTGTTGAGCGTTTTATTCTATCAATTGGTGATTGCCAGACAAAATTGTATTTCTTTTGTTCAGTGATTGAATTATGTCTTTACTTGGAGTAGGGAGAGATATAAACAGGTGATTTATTTTTGCAATGATAAGAGATTTAAGAACAGTTATTCTCCCTATAGGTATTAACATTCTTCTTGACCATTGATGTAACTTGCCATCTATAATACTAATAGCTTTGTTGAAATTAACAGTAACCATGTCTTCTAAATTGACAGAGAAATCAATCCCAAGTAAGGTAAATTTGGTTGTTCCCCATTTTAGTTTCCACCTTCGATGGTATACATGAGCACTTAAGTTTTTGCTACCTATCCAAATAACATTTGTTTTTTCAGTATTTACTTTTAACCCTGATATTTTAGCATATTTATTGTTTAAAGATTTTGTGCCATTTAAAATAAAGCATGTGTCATCAGCGAACTGTGAGAGCCTGTGTTCTTTGATATTTATGTTTATGCCTTTAAGTTTTTATTATTTTTTATCATGATAGCTAATATTTCAGCTACCAAAAGAAATAAGTAAGATGATACCGGATCCCCTTGTCTATAGCCCCTTTTTATGTCTACAAAGTTGGATAAAAAACATTCTGTATGATAGCCGAGGAAGTATTTGTATTAAAACATAACAGATTGCAACATACATGTAATATCAAACTGAAGTCACACAAGTTAAACACAATTCATAAAAAATCTGAAAATAAGTACAAGTTTAACTAATATATGACAATAATTATAAGAGAATTCACACAAATCTGAAAATACAAGTTAACTAATATATCATAATATATCATAATAAATATATGACTGATTCTGAAAACTGTTCTAAATATTAATTATTATTTTGCAATTATTAGCAGTTATTATCTGATTACTTATCAGAAGTTGATTAACCTGTGCAATTTACCTGTACACCATTTCTGCAATAGAGTGTAACTCACTATCGTCACAACTGACCACCTATGTAAACATGTGATTTTAAGCAGAGTTGGTGTTCAGGGAAGACCCCGTCGAGACGGGAGTCCAGTTTTCATGCAGGTCAGACTGACGACCGAAAATTTGAATAGAGACTGGCATTTTCTCTAGTCGTTGTGACCTCGGTGCTGATTGGTCCGTTAAATGTAGAAGACAGTCTAGACAAGGCTAGGTACCTGTGACTGGAATTTGTCATAGGAAACACGAAGGCTGAGTGTGCGCCACCTTGTGAACGGGACAAGAAGACTAGTTTGATCCTTTGATGTACATTAAAAGAAACTGTTTTGGAAGGCTTAACAACAGAGTAGGAAATGACCGTTATCGGCCGTTTTCCAGACCCCGTTGGAAGTAGGGACTTTCAAATCACAAACCCCGAAGGAGAATGGTCAAAAAGCGAGTTCGTTATATATTTATTTTTTTAATTCTGATATTAAACCTACAAATGTAAACATTAACATCCCTACACAAAAGGACAATGTTCCATTGTCACGTGTCTCCCCGTTAAAGCACAGACCTAGAATAATCTAATTCCGTGTAACATGTAACAAAATGAAAACAAAAGGTTCGTTCGCGGTCTCGGTAAAGGCGAATTCTGTGTTTAATTTCTCAAAAAAAATTCCCGAATAAATAAGGTTAGTACTTTCTTTACTTATATTTTTAGTTTTTTTCCCGCGGTGTCATTTCCTGTTAACAGGTTCAATGGGGTTCATTACATGGACGTGTTACATTTTCATTGGCTGACCAATGAGAATCGAGAAATGAATTGTACATGGTAGAGGGGAGGAGCTTCACTTACAAGATACAAGAAACTTTATTTAAAGTCGCATACATGTAAACAAGGAACATTTGCTCTTGAGAGATATTACTGCGACAAACATATGTAAAATAAGAATAACACATTATATTACAAGTAAAGGGAGATAATCAAATACATGTATATTAATAAAAAGCAGTAATAATTATCACAGAAAAAGAAAGTATCATATCCCAGGTTTCTAAGTGATTGGGAATCCCCTATCTACAAAGGCCTCCGGGATATGACCCTTTTGAAACAATAAATATATAAGAATATGAAACGTAATAAATGCGATCGCAGATACAATGTAAGTAGTGTTCAGAATAAATTAATAAAAGACATAGTTAATAGTGAATGAATACTTGTATATCATTCAAGAATTACTTAAGAATTCAGATTTGTCAAGTTTTGTAAAATAAAATATGTTTTAGAATGTATGGAATTAAAATATGAATAAGATATGATGCAATGATATAGAATATAATTAATACAGGTACATATACGAAATAATATAAGACAATAATAGTATCGCACAATCCAAAATGTCAGGTGGCAGAGGTAACCAGGGCACAGTATGAAGTATCACTCTTTACAGATATCGCAAAGGCAGATGGGGCCATCCCAGGAAAGGATCAGCCTCCTGAATTCTTTGAAGTTGTCAACTTTCGGAAGTCATTTGGGATAATTCAGAGTGTTGACCTTGGGTACCTCTGCAGTTTTTTCTTTCCTGAGGTCATAAATAGACCTCTTAATATTCATAAGGTTATGCTTATATTCAGGAGACATTTTGTTTATACCATATGGTATTAGTAAAACTGTGTTAAATAAGTTAGTTATACCATAGGTAGATCAAAGGAAAAGTGACATGTCTATGTGACAAGAAGTCGGGTATCGCTCCGCTCATCCTCAATATGCAGGGGTTACGCTCACTTTCGCTCTCTTCACCCCTGGAATATGTCATAATAGCAAAATCGAAGGCTCGGTGTGCGCCACCATGTGGATGAGACGAGAAGACTAGTTGGATCCTTTGATGTTCATCAAAAGAATATCGCAGTCGAGTAACGATAATACATTGTACTTACTGGCTTTGAAGTCGGGTATCGCTCCTCTCCAATCTTCAGAGGACAATTGTCAGCCTAGTGATTGGTCAGGGTATTTGTCCTGAGACCAATCAAAAAGCTAGCCGCGTGACTTCAATTTTGCTACGATATATTCCAGAGGTAAAGAGAGCGAAAGTGAGCGTAACAGGAACACCAGTGCATGCACTTTCGGAAACTTGCTTAATGTCGTTTCAAAAATACAATTAATGATATCTCTGTTATAGCCGTGGATCCATGGCGCGAACCTCCTTGTGATATTGGGTGGGGATGATCTGATGATGAAGAAGGAACATAATGTTCGCCTTTTCGAGGAGCTCATGCCGCCAGACTACCGCCACGAGAAGGCCGAGCTTGAGCTATATCCGGGGGCGGGGCATTTAATAGAGCCACCCAACACCCCTTTGAGCCGAGTTATTGAAGGAGCTTACGAAGCACAAATAGCGTATAGCGTAAAGGAACTGAAATACCAACATAGTGAGTGTTCAAAGTATATTCAATAAACATACATCATAATCATTAGCATCATTACTTACATGTTTATATTTCGTAATCAAATACGTGTATATTAATTATAAAAATAGTCATGTTCTATTATTACCAACGCCCATATTTCATTATCAAAACGTCAATGGCTCATTATCGATAACATCACTTGTTCATAGTAAAAAGGTCATGTACGGTATGAAAAACCGATAAGTGTTTATGTGGGACGATTCGGTGACTAATACCATACGTATCTGTCACCTTCATCATACCACATAATTTGATTATCTAAGTTCGTAGTCGGACAAATGACCAGTGAAGCGTGTGTATACCCAGATGTATAATCGATGTCGACTCGGATACGCTATAGGCGTATGTACATGTACACGGCTTTGTAACACATGTACGACGGGACAAATCATTCCGACAATTCGATTCGGCTTCTCTGTAATACATTGTTACAAATGTTCGACGCATGACTTCCTTTATCTACAGCGAATATGATGTAAGGCATGGTCTGTGTTTCCCGATTCACTCTGACTGATTTCATTGAGATTTGATGAATCTCTTACCGTCTTAGGTTTCCGTATCACAAATCGCCGACCACTTTCACTGATATAAGATGCGTCACAGTTCTATCATCAAAATCATTAATTGTTCATTAGTACTTTAAACTTCAATTGATATGTTATAATTCCATGAACAAAGTTAAGGATTGAATTTCAGGAACAAAATAATTGTTGACTTATCAACATGGTCGATTCCTTCCTTATCTCATTAGGATTTTTCTGTATGATGATAAAACAATAACGTCACAATTGTAAAAGACATGGCATACACGTTTAATATCGTAGAATTTCAGCAAACGTTTTGACAAATATATCTTGTGTTTTAATTCGTGTCCTTACTCCGGTATTCAGATGACTTAGTGCTTTCTGGAGGATATCCCAAGGAACATGCTGCAGCACAAAGAGGGGCGTGGCAGCAATCATTAAAATTTCTCAAAAAACATCTGTTCTGAAGGAAGGAAGACGTACTACCCTCACAGGTCCTCATGAGATAGATCCTCACAGGTTCTCAAGAGAGAGATCCTCACAGGTCCTCAAGAGAGAGATCCTCACAGGTCCTCAGGAGATAGATCCTCACAGGTCCTCAGGAGATAGATCCTCACAGGTCATCAAGAGATAGATACTCACAGGTCCTCAAGACCTTGACTATATGTTGACGTGTGGACTATTCAATACTAATAAAACATTAACAAAGGAAGCATCAAACAGGTACTAAATCCTACTCGCAATTTTATTCTAAGTATATATTTCATCTTAATATTTTGTTAGCTTTCACAAAAGGCTTTGTTTTAAAAACGTTCAAAACCAAATAAAGCTATCACCATATGATAATGAATGCGCATCACCACCCAAAGTGATTATTTATTGTATGGTAGTGTGCAGTGTGGAACATCAATGTTCCGTTAGAAAGGACATAGACATTTGATACAAGGATAACAACCAAAATAGAAGTAATACTTAACAATTCCCTGAAACCTTTACTGTTACATTCGGAGAGGGAATTCGAATCCCTTGCTCTAACTCAATAACGTCCGATTTTTATCATATTGCTAAGACCGTTGGGCAATTGGAACAAAATGTACGTGCATGTCATCGTAAATCGTGCTCACTGTCATAAAATAAAGACACAATGTGATTGACCAACGAAAACACTCCTTAAAAATAAACGTTACAGAGTAATGTAATTTAGATAGTTTAGTAAAAAAACAACTGTTATAGTTATTTATGTTTTAAAACATTGCAAGTTTATATATTGGACAGCGATTCAAATATTGAAAGTTCTATTAGAGCCCAAATGAACTGAAAGTTGAGGGATACTGTGATTCGCCGTTTCCATTTTGCATACCATAGCAAGCACTGTAAACATAAACAAAGATACATGTTGTACCAAATATCAATACATGTACATAGGTCACCAGATCAGAGGTCAAATTCGTCGTTCTTATGCAATCATTATTAAACCTTTTGTTTTTAGATTTTTATTTCTATTTTATTTTCACACTTTATACCAGTGTAGGAGTTATTAACATAATAAAAACAAGCTTTTTGATACTTCGTTGTGAACTTAATTGGTTGTTTTTAACTCGTGAAGTGCAGTGATGGGAAACTCCATCGAGTTCAATGCTACCTTTATACATACACAGATTATAGAAGAAAAAGCGCAAAGAAACACCAAAGCCGGAGTTTTCTGTAACCTGAAACTTTATTCTTAGGGTACGCATATTGTTAGTTCAATAAATAAATAAATATAACTACTCAAAGCTATACAATAGCTTTAACCCTATAGTATAGTTATCACTATTTCAACTCATCGGTCACCATAGTAACCATCCAGGACACCCGTCGGTAGTAGGCGTAGAGCTCATTTGAAGATACATATATAGCTGTTGAATATGCTGTTTGCCAAAAATCCTGCAGGTGTAAATGATGATTTGATGGAATGAAGTGTCCTGTGCCATTACAAAGTTCTGTGGGTTGATGTCACGGAGTATATGACAATGTTTTATATTTTTTTAAATTTCAAATTAAAAAAATAAAAATAGTACAATGGTGCACCATTTATGGTATTTGTAATGTTTATTATTATTTCTCGTAACTAGGTTATCTCGGAGAAGGGGAGATTACCCTTCTCAAAAACGGTACTATGCGTAGTAATATGATTGTCATTGTGTGTGAAATCAGCTGACCGGTTGCACGAGAATCGTTGTATTCATAGTGTATTCATGGTCTAATGGCAGTAGTTTTCAGCTGGTAGATTCATGTACAGAACAAGTGCCAAGAATGTAAAAATATCTTTATAGTCATGCAGTGCTTCTCAGGATTTAAATGTGGGTCTGGTGATTGTTTTATGAATGATATCTAGAGGAATTATTTATTTGTTTCAAAACGTACAGTTTCGGTATTTCGGATTTCATTCCTGTGATACTGGTTTAGCCAGGGATGTGTAGTGCACTACACAACCCTGGTTTTGCTTGTAAACTTTAGGCTCGGAATATCACGATTTCCTAGATAGATGTTAGTCCCTTAAAGACAAACTTACGGACCGAAGAAGACAGCGGACTAGTTTTATGGTTATAGTTTTATCATCTCATTGGAAAGTATAGCATTTCCTTGTGCTTTACCTTTGTTACTGTGTTCATTGGTGTGCATTGTAGTTTTGTTGTTGCATGTATAATCCTGGTCCTCACTTTGAGGACGTCACATTAACGTCCAGGCCGTACATATACATATAAAAAAAATAATGATTGTATAATCGTAGAGTTACCTGTTTATACCAAACGTGATATACAATAATAACTGTGTGGTAGGCAGAAGTAATTTATGTAGTTCACAGAAATAAATATGTAGTATAGTATACAGAAGTAAATATGTAGTATAGTATACGGAAGTAAATATGTAGTATAGTATACAAAAGTAAATATGAAGTACAGTACACATAAGTAAATATGTAGTATAGTATAAAGAAGTAAATATGAAGTATAGTACAAGGAAGTAAATATGAAATATGGCATATCGAAGTAAAAATGTAGTTAAGTGTACAAAAGTAAATATGAAGTATAGTGTACAGAAGTAAATATGTAGTATAGTATACAGAAGTAAGTATGAAGTATAGTACACAGAAGTAAATATTTTGCATAGAATACAGAAGTATATATGGAGTATAATACACAGAAGTACATATGTAGTATAGTATACAGAAGTAAATATGTAGTATAGTGCACAAAGGTAAATATGGAGTATAGTACACAGTAGCAAATATGTAGTATAGTACACAGAGGTAAATATGTAGTATAGTATAGAGAAGTAAATATGTAGTATAGTATACAGAAGTAAATATGTAGTATAGTATACAGAAGTAAATATGTAGTAAGGTACAATGAAGTAAATATGTAGTATAGTATACAAAGTAAATATGTAGTATAGTATACAGTAGTAAATATGTAGTATAGTATACAGTAGTAAATACATAGTATAGTATACAGTAGTAAATATGTAGTATAGTATACAGTAGTAAATATGTAGTATAGTACACAGAAGTAAATATGTAGTATAGTGTACAGAAGTAAATATAGAGTATAGTATACAGTAGTAAATATGTAGTATATTACAAAGAAGTAAATATGTAGTATAGTATACAGACTTAAATATGTAGTATAGTGTACAGAAGTAAATATGTAGTATATTGTACAGAAATAAATATGTAGTATAGTGTACAGAAGTAAATATGTAGTATAGTACACAGAAGTAAATATGTAGTATAGTGTACAGAAGTAAATATGTAGTATAGTATACCATAGTAAATATGTAGTACATTACAAAGAAGTAAATATGTAGTATAGTGTACAGAATTAAATATGTAGTATAGTATACAGTAGTAAATATGTAGTATTGTATACAGAAGTAAATATGTAGTATTGTATACAGAATTAAATATGAAGTATTGTATACAGAAGTAAATATGTAGTTTAGTGTACAGAAGTAAATATGTAGTATAGTACACAAATGTAAATATGTAGTATTGTATACATTAGTAAATATGTAGTATTGTATACAGAATTAAATTTGTAGTATTGTATACAGAAGTAAATATGTAGTATAGTGTACAGAAGTAAATATGTAGTATAGTGTACAGAAGTAAATTTGTAGTATTGTATACAGAATTAAATATGTAGTATAGTGTACATAAGTAAATATGTAGTATAGTATACAGAAGTAAATATGTAGTATAGTGTACAGAAGTAAATATGTAGTATAGTATATAGAAGTAAATATGTAGTATAAGTGTACAAAAGTAAATATGTAGTATAGTGTACAGAAGTAAATATGTAGTATAGTATATAGAAGTAAATATGTAGTATAAGTGTACAAAAGTAAATATGTAGTATAGTGTACACAAGTAAATATGTAGTATAGTATACAGAAGTAAATATGTAGTATACAGAAGTAAATATGTAGTATACAGAAATAAATATGTAGTATGGTGTACAGAAGTAAATATGTAGTATAGTGTACAGAAGTAAATATGTCGTATAGTGTACAGAAGTAAATATGTAGTATTGTATACAGAATTAAATATGTAGTATAGTGTACATAAGTAAATATGTAGTATAGTATACAGAAGTAAATATGTAGTATAGTACACAAATATAAATATGTAGTATAGTATACAGAAGTAAATATGTAATATAGTGTACAGAAGTAAATATGTAGTATAGTGTACATAAGTAAATATGGAGTATAGTGTACAGAAGTAAATATGTAGTATAGTATACGATAGTAAATATGTAGTATACAGAAGTAAATATGTAGTATACAGAAGTAAATATGTAGTATAGTGTACAGAAGTAAATATGTAGTATAGTGTACAGAAGTAAATATGTAGTATAATGTACAGAAGTAAATATGTAGTATAGTACACAGTAGTGAATATGTAGTTTAGTATACAGAAGTAAATATGTAGTATACAGAAGTAAATATGTAGTAAAGTATACAGTAGTAAATATGTAGTTTAGTATACAGTAGTATATATGTAGTATACTAAACTACATATTTACTTCTGTGTACTATACTACATATTTACTTCTTTGTAGTATACTACATATTTACTTCTGTATACTAAACTACATATTCACTACTGTGTACTACATATTTACTTCTGTATACTACATATTTACTTCTGTATACTAAACTACATATTTACTACTGTATACTTTACTACAGTAGTAAATATGTAGTTTAGTATACAGAAGTAAATATGTAGTATAGTATACAGAAGTAAATATGTAGTAAAGTATACAGTAGTAAATATGTAGTTTAGTATACATAAGTAAATATGTAGTATAGTATACAGTAGTAAATATGTAGTATAGTACACAGAAGTAAATATGTAGTTTAGTATACAGTAGTATATATGTAGTATAGTCTACAGAAGTAAATATGTAGTATAGTTTACAGAAGTAAATATGTAGTATAGTGTACAGAAGTAAATATGTAGTATAGTATACAGTAGTAAATATGTAGTTAAGTATACAGTAGTAAATATGTAGTTTAGTAAACAGTAGTAAATATGTAGTATAGTATACAGTAGTAAGTATGTAGTTAAGTATACAGTAGTAAATATGTAGAATTTTTTACAGAAGTAAATATGTAGTTTAGTATACTGTAGTAAATATGTAGTATAGTATACAGAAGTAAATATGTAGTATAGTATACAGTAGTAAATACATAGTATAGTATACAGTAGTAAATATGTAGTTAAGTATACAGTAGTAAATATGTAGTATAGTACAAAGAAGTAAATATGTAGTATAGTATACAGTAGTTAATATGTAGTATAGTGTACAGAAGTAAATATGTAGTTTAGTATACAGTAGTAAATATGTAGTATTGTATACAAAAGTAAATATGTAGTATAGTATACAGTAGTAAATATGTAGTATTGTATACAGTAGTAAATATGTATTATAGTTTACAGAAGTAAATATGTAGTATAGTATACAGTAGTAAATATGTAGTATTGTATAAAGGAGTAAATATGTAGTTTAGTATACAGAAGTATATATGTAGTATAGTATACAGTAGTAAATATGTAGAATAGTATACATTAGTAAATATGTAGTTTAGTATACAGTAGTAAATATGTAGTATAGTATACAGTAGTAAATATGTAGCATAGTATACAGTAGTAAATATGTGGTATTGTATGCAGAAATAAATATGTAGTATAGTATACAGTAGTAAATATGTAGTATAGTATACATTAGTAAATATGTAGTTTAGTATACAGTAGTAAATATGTAGTATAGTATACAGTAGTAAATATGTAGCATAGTATACAGAAGTAAATATGTAGTATAGAATACAGTAGTAAATATGTAGTATAGTACACAGAAGTAAATATGTAGTTTAGTATACAGTATTAAATATGTAGTATAGTGTACAGAAGTAAATATGTAGTATAGTATACCGTGGTAAATATGTAGTATGCAGAAGTAAATATGTAGTATACAGAAGTAAATATGTAGTATAGTATACAGTAGTAAATATGTAGTATAATGTACAGAAGTAAATATGTAGTATAGTTTAGAGTAGTAAATATGTAGTATTGTATACAGAAGTAAATATGTAGTTTAGTAAACGGTAGTAAATATGTAGTATAGTATACAGTAGTAAATATGTAGTTTAGTATACAGAAGTATATATGTAGTATAGTATACAGTAGTAAATATGTAGTTTAGTATACAGAAGTATATATGTAGTATAGTATACAGTAGTAAATACATAGTATAGTATACAGTAGTAAATATGTAGATAAGTATACAGTAGTAAATATGTAGAATTTTTTATAGAAGTAAATATGTAGTTTAGTATACTGTAGTAAATATGTAGTATAGTATACAGTAGTAAATATGTAGTATTGTATACAGTAGTAAATATGTATTATAGTTTACAGAAGAAAATATGTAGTATAGTATACAGTAGTAAATATGTAGATAAGTATACAGTAGTAAATATGTAGAATTTTTTATAGAAGTAAATATGTAGTTT